AGGTAAAATGGCATTTTTTGCCTCAATCCAGTTTTTCTGCAGAAATCGGTTCATTTACATGCATGTTACAATGTTCCAAGTTCGTGAAAAAATCAAGCCTCTGCTTAACTTTTTATCAACAGTAAAGCGAGAAAGTTAAGGTTTTTCTTTTTTTTTTGTCACATCTTCTCTCCGATAAATCAGTCGGTACGTTCAGTCAATAATACGTTCAATCAATCAACTTGTAGAGGGTTTAATTATCAATAAAATAAGATGTGCAGCAATATTTTTTCATTGTTTACTCACAAATAGCGTTTGAAGTTGAAATAGCGAGTTTTTTTAACATTTAACAACTCAAAAATGAAATTATTTGCAAGCGTCACATGTTCAGAAAATGTTGCTATTACTAACATAAACAAGTGTCCCAAATTGTAAGAGGTTTGCCTTTCTATCTTTTTGAGTTAGTAGCGGTCAAATTTTCTGTCGAAGCTTAATTGTATCATGATAATAATAATGATAATCATAATAATAAAAATAATAATAATAATGATAATAATAATAATTCTGAAGTGTGCAGGGCCTTTAGACAGGTCCTGTACATAAGAAAAAGAAATCAGATTTAATGCCAAGAGTTCTACAAGGAAACATGAACGGGGTAATTGACGCAGGTGCCCTTCTGCCACAAATATTATGCGAAAGAAGGGTAGACGTAGCGCTCATGAGCGAGCAGTACAGAAACTTCAAGCCGCCTAAGTGGCTCAGCAATGCAGCAAATATGTCGGCCATTTCAGTTCCTAGACCAGATAAAATCCGCCAAGACGCAAGCGAATCGGAAAGACATTTTGTCTGGTTGAAAAGTGGAAGCATTACGTATGTCAGCTGCTACTTTTCACCAACCACTTGTATCGAGGAATACAGGAGAAGAATGAATTACCTCCAAGATACCATCAGAGATGGCATGGAAGGTGACCTTATAGTCGCTGGAGACTTTAATGCAAGAGCAGTAAAATGGGGAATGCCTACAAAAAATTCTAAGGGTCGGGCAGTCCTAGCTATGGCAGCAAGGCTAGGACTGGTCCTTGTAAACGAAAGAAGGACTACGATTTTCCGAAGGCCGGGACTTGGCGAATCAACATCAGACATGACACTGTCTTTGGAGAGCTTTGCGCCAAGAGTAAAGGAATGGCAGGTAATTATGGACGAAAATGGTAGCAATCACCAATATATCGTCTTTGAAGTCACTGATACAATAGACAGAAGAGGTATTGCACGCAAAACAGGATGGAATGTTAAGAAGCTGGATACAGAACGACTAGCGGAAAAAGTCGAGAATGTCATCGCTGCTATTCAAAGCGATGAACCAAACCTGAACACAGTAGAAGGAGTACAGAAGCTCACCGAGGCAACCATGCAACTCCTAAAAACCGCATGCAAGGCTTCTATGCTGAGAACAAAAAAGGATCGGCAAATGCTAAACTTACTGGTGGAATGAGGAAATTACCGAATTGAGGCGCCAATGTCTCAAACACAGACGCCTCTATCAAAGGGCCAGAACTAGCTTTTTTTCGTCGGGGCTTTTTTCATTAAAGCTATATGTTGTGTGTCGTTTGTAAAAATGCCGGCTACCAGACGACTATAGACTCCTTAAAAAGGAACCAAGTTACTGTTTCCAAACAAATGGTCGGTTATAAGACGTTGGTGTAAACGCCGATGGCCAAGTAACTAGCTAACCTTTCTACAATCATTTACTTTGTTCCCACCTCAGTGCTCTGTATTTAACCTTTACTGTTATGTCCTTAGGCTATTGAGCGACAGCTAAATATAAGGCTTAAATATAAAAATTACTCCTACGACGTTTTTAATGTAACAGGGACATAGTTCAAAGAGCAAGTGAGGTTTAACATATAATTGAGTGAAGAAGTAGTATGTCCCCGAACATTTAACTCAGAAATTTTACTTGACTAAATTCTTTATGTTGGCCAATTAATTTCTCTGTTTACTACTGCAATTGGTATAATGATGAAAAGTGGAATAAAACATTCAGTACTGCCTCTGATAAAAAAAATTCTGATATAATGTTTTCAACAACCCTAAATTTGAGTTAACATTTTCTAAAAGGTAATTATAAGTTAGCGTTTTTTTAAAGGTAATATTAAGGAGGTTCGGTAGTGTGAGCGGGGGGAAATCTTAGAGAGGCAAGGGGAGGGAGAGCGTCTGGCAATGTTGTAAATTTTTTCGGCTGCTGGCACGTCGTCTACTGTTGTTGTCGTCTACTGCTGTTGTCATCGTCTACTGATGACAGTGTACTTATTCATTCGGTTGAATTTTTTATAATTAAATTTTCAATTAAAAAAGGAGTTTTTACTATTCATCACATTTCAAAGTACGCGCCAAAAGCAGTGTTGCCAAGTCGTCTGCTGCGAGCACATTTTTTGCTGTTTTTTAATAGAAATTTGTGGTAGGGCTCTCTCAAACTTTGACAACTGACTGTAGAGTAACATGCAACTGTGATAAAATACAACATGAGCTTTTTAAATTTAAGGCCTAATAATAATTATTTATATATATGTATGTATAGTTTTTTTTAATATGCGAAAACTAAAAACAAACGTACTTCACATAAACCTTAAAGATAAAACTAAACAATAAAGTGCAATGAAGAAAAAGGATTACGTGATATCTGTGCTCACTGATATTGTTTGCATATCAGACGGTAACAATTAACTAAATATAATTTGCTCATTGATTTTACAAAGCTTAAAATTAAAATACTAAAACTCAGTAATGTGTTTTTCAACGTAGAATGTGGCTAGTTGAATAGTAGGGTTTAATTATTGGGTTTATTTTCTGCTACTTTTGATATTTTCTCGTAGATCGATGATTTTGGCACGGGTTGACTTTGTTTTTGAAGTTTGTGTACAGCGTTGTCTTCTGCATGGAATCATATGTCTTTGATAAGTCATTAACTTAACGTGTTGTTGACATAATAAGTAAGTCAATTTTTTGTTTATTTTGTATTCTGCACTCCTTTTAATTGGTTCAGCGTATTTCGTGTGATACTTGTGTTGATCGTTCTGCAATGCTAGAATAGTGCTTTCAGGATCCATGTATTTTACATATCCTTGGAATAATCTTCCATGCCGATCTCTCACGGCATAACAATATTCTAGGGTACCAAATTGAGAGAAATGATTAAAGAAATCTTTTTCCCTTTTTGTTTCTTCTATATCCTATGGTAAAAGACACATAAGTCTTATTGGATCGATGTTTGGTATGCCATTGTCACTTTTTGGTGATGTTGATGAAGAAATCCTTTCTGCTTGACAAATAGTGGATTTCATCTTAAAAGTAGAAAATGTTTGAGCTCCCTCTCCTATTTTTAGTGTTTCATCGGGTTTTTTATGAACTGAATCACAATTGTAAATTGCAGATATGGTTCGATGTGTATAACTGTGTAAATCCGGAAGTGTGTACATTTTCTTGATGTTTCCTTTATTCTCAAATTGTTCAATGACTTCACGTAAAGAATATTTTATGTTAACTCTAGGCTTTATTGTTATTTCATAATCGGGGTTCATCGTGCAGCCTGGACGGGAAATAGTATCGAATTACTATTGGTTTATGAGTCCATTTCTAACTTTTGGGGCGTGTGGCGTGGAAGTATCAAACTCCCAGTCTTCATTATAGGTCTAGTCTTAAATGATTTATGTATTTTTTTGTTTTCCTTCAATTTCGACATAAAGTTCAGTCGTGTTCGTGTTGTTTCGGTTCTTGTTTTATGGTTACTCGGGGTTCTGCGTTCAGTGGGTTGATGGTGCGTTTTATAAATTTTTCCGAGATACTACCTTTCATAGGCTTTTTTAAACAGCTTCTTATTTTGCTGATAAGTATTGCTATTATAATCATAATAATAATAGCTTCAATGACATTTCGTATTAAAGAAAAAAGAGGATGCAGCTCTACTTAAGCTTCGCTACATACTGTAACGAAGAATTAACCAAAAGAGCTTTTGAAGGACTTAAGATGTAAGGGTGGATGTATTACCACAAAGACTGTCGAAAAAATCGCGAAAAAACTGTACATTCACCGTGTGGGAATTTATTATATAAAATTGATCTAGAGGTTCACAATCTCTTGTGCAAAACACAAATAAAGTTAAAAAAAATTTTCCGTCATGCCAGAAAGATATTAATCTAGTGAAATACAATTGGCACTACAAGCTATGCCTTAAGACGGGCGTTTTGGCAGATCTTAATGCCCTCAATAGATTTGTAATAAACGACAAAATATTAAGGGCAAAGGGGAATGGAAAAAAACAGTCCATGATTAATAACTAATTTTGTATATATATATCTTTGCGCC